ATTTTATTTTTCACATCACTTATATCACTTATATCTAAGCTTTAAATTTGATAATCCTTTTTATAGAAAGGTCCTATAACCATATTTGGCTACTCTTAATCTTGGTTAATATCAACTAATCTGACTAGATAAATCCTACTAGTAAGCTCTATGCTAGTTTAGGTTGAGCCTTCATAATTAACATCTAGTTTAGTTAGTATGCTTGCTAATTCTGTTACCACATTGGATAGGTACTTCTATATGTTGGTGCAAGTTTCTTGTTGCACTACAAGTTACCTTATAACTTTCAGATGGTGAACTTCTCTTTTATAAACTAATGGATTAGATATCTGTCTAGTATATATGGTGTTTTGGTGCTTTGATGTTTTAGGTTATAAGACATTATAGGTATAGACCTAATTTGGCTTGTGGTTTATAATACTTCCAATTTTAATATTAGATGTTTCTTTTATAATTTTTTCTATTTCTGGTATACAAGCTCTATTCATATATATATACTACCGCCCAATAAATCTGGCCATTTTGAGTTATTACTGCATAATCTGAGTTTCAGCCTACTTACTCTGTCATCAAGAATTTTCCCTAATAGGCCAAGTAGCTTGTGGCTAAATGTGCTTCCAATTCCAGTTGGGCCAATTCTTTTTCACGGGTTGTCCTTGTGTTCTTCATTTCTCACTATTCCAGTTATATTAGTGTTGTATGACCCGTAACATATATGTATATTTTTTTTATTATTAAATTTAATCACGTTACGTATTACTAATATTATAGAAGATGCTAATTATAAGGATAATTTTGGACAAACTAGAATTAAATGGAATAACGATAATAATAAATTGCAACGACAAATCTTTTATGAAATTGATGATAAGTTAATCAAATTTTTGCCAAAAATAAAACCAATCTATATCGTAAAAGGAATAAAGGGCAATTTAAAAGTCCACTTTTTGTAAATTTATTTTTAGATACGCATTTAACGAAATGTGGAATTGTTAATATTACTTCTAAAAATATAGTGTTAGGATTATTAAATCCCGATTCCGATTCTTTTAAAAAAGATGAAAGAATTGCATATTTTTATGTTCCACCGAATGAAAATTAATTTAATTTACAGCTTTCATATTATATGATCATATTATATGTGCATCGTATTTATTATAATGTTATTTAATAAAAA